GCATGTGGGGGTTCCCCTGGCAGCCCCAGGCCCCATTGCCCCATAGGGAAGCAGGAGAGCAGGGTGGCTCGTGCCACCTTCCGGCCCTGTCCCAACCCGTCAGATCGCTCCCCGTGCTTGGTGCGAATCATGTAAGAGCACAGGTCAGTATTCAGGCCCTGCGTAGGTGGACTTGGGAGCTGGTAGCACAAGAAAACAAGTGTTGCTACATTCGGGTAGCTTTCTGTTGTCTTGTGTTACCCAGTTACTGTATTTCCATCCATTCTCTATCTCAGTTTTTGAAAACTTCTCTCAGTTTTGAAAACTGATCCCATTTAATGTCTTTACAGACAACAGGTGATACCTAAGTGAGATCCAGCAGAAATCAAATCTGCCTGTTCTTTGTCTAAGGTGCTCTTACGAGTTATGGAAAAAAATAGTGTATGTTATGATACTCTCGTGCAAATATCTGGTATGATTGAGGAATGCAGCCAAGTGCCTTCAGAACACGAGAGGTACATGAGGCATGCCGCAGGGAATGCCGGCCTTCAGGGATCGGTCACCAGTGAGGACCTGGTGTGCCGCCTTGCGTGGGTGTGTGAGAGGCAGAGCGCCCTGAAGTGCCGTCGGCAGCACGTTTATTTGATGGCAGGACATGGACAGATGAACAAACTTTCTTAGCTGATTATTAGGAGGAGGGGGGCTGGAAGAAAGAGGAATGTGAATGCCTTTCAGATAGGGGAAGCTCTTTGACAGTGCAAGATGTCTTACAAATTCTGCTTGTGTATTCCTATAAAACTTATCCTATATCAAACTTTTTGTAGTGCTTCCTCAGTAATGATTTCATAGAAGTGCTCTTCATGAGGTTTCCCATGAAGAAGCCAGTTCTTGTGAGCATGCACTTACAGTGCAAGCAGTTACAGTCTCTGTTAGTGTGTAGCGCAGCGGGTGCTTTGCTCGAGGGCTGCTTGGTGGTGAAGTTGCCTTTCAGGCAAGTAGAAGCTGTGGCTCCGCTTTGCCCATGGGCATAGAGGGTCCCTTGGCCTCTGGGTGAGTTGTGGGCATCGGGGAGTTGGGAGGGCAGGACTGGTTCCTCAGAGAGGCAGAACAGAGCCTGATATGGGGGTCCTGGTGAGGCTTTGCTGTCTGCTGAGGTCCTCTTGCAGACTTGAACTTTGGGGCACTCAGGGAAGTGAAAAATGAACTGTCCTCAATTCTGAGAATTGCACCTCTGGCCTCAGCGTAAATGCGGAGGTGCAGAGTCTTAGGGACCCAGGCTGTGGCTGCTAAGAAAATTCTACCCTTAATGTGAAACTGTTTCTGTCAAGCTAAATATATAGTGCTCACTTTTATTTCTTTAATAAATTTTATAAAATAGCCATCTGGAATAAAAGTTTATATGGAAAATACTGCTTTTTCTATACATTTGTAATTCATGTGTGGTAATTATTTTAAAAAGATTACAAGAGGAAAAAGTCAAAATCAAGTTACTTAGGCCTTGTCCTCAATGCCATTTTTTCTGTTTATTATTGGGGAAAAGGCACACAATTCCATTCTAATGACTTGCATTGTGCTTGAGGAGAAAACCCCCTCTGAATCACTTGTTTTGGGAAAGTACCCTCACACAAAGTTGGAGCAAACCCTGGCATTTCCCCCATTTTCCACTCTTCTTCCTGAAGAGATGTCAGATGCCTTGGGAAATGATCTTTGTAAAAGGTCATGAACAAAATAAAAAGCATTCTTAAATATACAGTTACAGCTAACTGAAAACTAAACATTCACAACACTGTCAGTATTGAGTGTTTGACAAGAAACATCTTTGTATGAGTTTTATGGTTAAGAAAACATGTTACAGCATCAACGGAGGAATAGTTACAGACTTCACATTAGATTCATGTACTGTGTTGTAGAACTAAGAAGTTTTTGCTTGAAAAATATAGTTTTTATTATTATTATTAAGGGCTAAGTCATCGTTCTGCCCACGTCTTGCTAATGCCAAGTTAAAGCTTTTCCATATGGAAGAGCCCTACAGTTTTGGGACTGCTCTACTTTCACATCCTGTTTTGAAGAACAACTGCTGCTTCTCATTGCTGAAAGATGGTCTGTGTAAAAATTCTGAAGAGGGAAAAGATGGGGAGATGGAGGGTCGAATATGCTGCCATATTATGAGGGTGGTACTGAGTGTCATCAGAAGGCCACTTCTTATGTGGGGCGATGACTCTGTACACCCTCAAAATACTGTTTGTGGCTGTCAGTCATACAGACTTACCGTGAGTGAATTGTCAGAAATATTATCCTGTGTCAGTTAAACCTTTTTATTTTCTCCTATTCAAAACCCTGTTAATTCAGTTGCAAGATGGAGACTGTTTTTTGTGTTTCTTTTATGTGAACTAAAGTAAACAATCGGATTGAGGTTTGATTTAAATTGCTAGGGATATTTTAAACCTTAAAATGCTTTAAATTTTATTCCTTAAATAAGTAGGTATGAGTCTGCAGGGATGGTTTGAGAGAGCTGGAGTTTGCCCTTTCTGGCACAGGCCAGTCTGAATTACACGAGAAATGGTAAACCAAAAAGCAGCCCAGGGAAAAAAGGAGAGGGAAGGAAGGAAGGAAGAGCATAGCCGTGGATTGTCATAAGCATCTGGGAGATGTGAGAGCCGAAGTTCTTCTCTAGTGCATTTTGCTCCATCCAAGTCGTTGGTACATCCATTTCTAGACCTGGTGGTCACCTCCTCCTCTGTTGCCCAAGATGGCTGGTGACTCAGCAGTACCTGTCAAGCTAAATATTTCTGTTTCTGGTACCTGTGTTACAAAAGTTAACACATGCAAACACTATTGGCTTTGAAGGACTGGGCCTAGCCTATTCGATTAAAGGTTTTTATTTGCTTTAACTCTGTACACCTGTGACTGAAGTGGTACATAGCTAGTTAAAATGTTAAATATATGTGAATTATACTGCTATACCCACAATCCATGGGCCCTGATGGGATGCACCCCAGAGTTCTGCATGAGCTGGCAGATGTCATAGCTAAGCTGCTCTCCATCATCTTTGAAAGATCCTGGAGAATGGGGTTGGTGCTGGAGGACTGTAAGAAAGCCAATGTCACACCAGCCTTCAAATAAGGCAAGAAGGAGGACCCAGGCAACTACAGGCCAGTGAGCCTCACCTCTGTCCCCAGAAAAGTGATGGAACGGCTCATACTGGCCTTGTCTCAAAGCACATGGAGGACAAGAACGCGCTCAGGAGTAGTCAGCATGGATTCACCAAGGGGCAATCTTGCTTGACTAACCTGATAGCCTTCTGTGATGGAATGACCAGCTGCATAGATGAAGGGAGAGTGGTGGATGTCGTCTATCTCAACTTCACCAAGGCTTTTGACACCGTCCCTCACAATATCCTCTTGGGCAAGCTCCGGAAGTGTGGGATAGATGAGTGGACAGTGAGGTGGATTAGGAACTGGCTGGG